CAAGATATCTACCCCTCACCTTCAGCGAATATTTGCAAAAGCTAGCATCAATCACTACCAAGTCTTCTCTCCTCAAGATGGCCGATTCCAGCATTCAGAAATGTCTTCATGACCTGCCGAAGTGCGAGCATCATCTTCATATCGAAGGCTCTTTATCACCAAGCCTCCTCTTCCGCCTCGCATCAATCAACAAAATCTCCCTCCCATCCACTGAAACCGACCCCTCATTCGCCTCCCCCGAAGCCCTCGAAGACCGATACACGCGCTTTACCTCTCTCAATGACTTCCTCCACTACTACTACATTGGAATGTCCGTTCTCATCACGACCGCCGATTTCGAATCCCTAGCCTACGAGTACTTTACGCGGGCACACAACGATGGAGTCCACCACGCCGAGATCTTCTTCGACCCCCAGGCCCACACCTCCAGAGGCATTGCATACGAGACCGTAGTGGCAGGATTGAGCGCGGCGCAGAAGCGTGCTGAGGAGGACTTTGGGCTGACGTCCAAGCTGATCCTATGCTTCTTGCGCCATCTGCCAGCCAGCGATGCGAAGGATACCTACCAAGCGGCGGAAGCTCTGGGCCACTTCTCCAGTGGAGTTGTAGCCGGTATTGGACTTGACAGCAGCGAAGTCGGATTCCCACCAGAGATATTCAGAGAGGTCTACGAGTCCGCGAGCAAAGCTGGGATCCGCAGGACGGCACATGCGGGCGAGGAGGGTGATTCTACATACATCTCACGGGCGCTGGATTTGTGCAACACAGAGCGGATCGATCACGGTATTCGGTTGGTGGATGACGAGGCTCTGCTGAAGAGAGTGGCGAAGGACAAGACTCTGGTTACAGTGTGTCCGTTGAGCAATGTCAGATTGCGATGTGTGACAAAGGTTGCAGAGCTGCCCGTCAAAAAATTCTTGACAGAGGGCGTGAGATTCAGCATCAACAGTGATGACCCGGCTTATTTTGGCGGATATATCCTGGACAACTATATTGCGGTGCAAGAGGCTTTTGCTTTGACTTTGAAGGAATGGAAGTTCATTGCTGATGGAGCAATTGAGGGAAGTTGGTGTGATGTCGAGAGAAAGAAGATCCTGCTTGAAAAGGTCGAGGAATGGGCTGTGACTTATAAGGACACTCTATGAGTGCGATAAGCGAAGAATTGCCATCATGATGTATTAATATATCCCGCGACTACATTGCACTGAAGTTATAGAACGCATGGTTTTAGTTGCTACTGGCCTCGAGTATCTATCGGAAATAAAATCTAGCAAATACAAGCGACAAGTTCGCTCACTGCCTTGTTAACAGTCTTCAATTATCCTGTTCGGTGATTCGCTCCCCCCCGTTTTTTAATCGTCGTGCGTTTGACCTTCATGACTACCACCTCCTACTTGGCATCAGGGGTTCGAAGAAGTAATGCAAGCTTCAGGATCATTCCATTGTTCAGCACCACTGCTCAAAAGTCTGCTTTTTCATCACAGCACGAACCTATATATCATGGTTGAATCAAGCCCCTCAGAGCCGGAGGTAGTTTAGGTCATTACTATGGTGTTAAATTCCTTGTATAAATTCAAATATATCAGCTCACCGGATATACAATTATTTTTATGGAGGACTCGGCAATAGACCATCCGCCGCTATTTTGCAGAAATTGGCTGGTTCCCGTTGCGGTAACCTTCTCAGTATTTCCAGGACTTGAAGCGAATGAGGTCAACAAATCCAGCTAACGCAAAGGTTAGGGAGCTACGGGAGGCGCGATCACGATGATTCATTTACGTCACATATTACTTGAGCAATAGGGCAATATCTAAATGCTGAATTTTCTTCTATGCAAGCAGTCCCTAAAGTGTAAAATCAGTTCCCGTAAGACGTTCCTCCTGGTTGCACATTCAGGAGGGATATTCGCTTATTTTATTTATTTGCCCCACATTTCTCTTCAACCTGACATCACTTCATTCCAGTATCACAAATAATCCATTAAGCGAGATATACACTCGGTTCACTACCTACCTACTTAGGTGCTTATAAGTAGAGGTAGTTTGAGCGGAAGCTAAGGAAATTTTGGCTCTCCGGTTGACGATAGCTCGTGGCATATTACCTCATATCGTCACAATATCTCCGAAGGGCACACCAGCCAATTCAAATTATTACACTACCTCAGCAGCGCACACCAGCAAGCTCGAATCACACTACACTACCGGCATCAGTTCAGATGCAAATCCCACCATGTATATAAGACGCTCTTCTCAATCCTAATTTTTAATTTCCTCCCTCAACACACAACCACACAATATACCCTTCATTCAAACTTCACTCATCATTTACAACTCACACTCTCCACTCTCCACTCATCACAACCCAACCCAACTTCAATCCAATCACCGCTCTATCACAGAGCCGTCCCCTCATACCACCCGTTTCAAAGTCCTCGTCGTCAACCGCCAAAATGCCTGATCCTATGGCATACAAACACGAGGCCATCCTCCTCTCAAGAAAATTGTGGGCAGACATGGGCCCCTACGAAAGAGCACAACTGAAGGCTGCAAGGATATGGTGGTCACAACATGAATACAGTATTCCAGCCCCGTCTGCTCCCAGCGTTCCAGAACCAACAGTCACCTGCCAACCTATGTCAAGGTTTATGAGAGGCAGTGCCAGACAGCGAGCTCGGTTAAGGTTTCCTACCTTTGAGGGCCCCTGTACCACGACCTGCAGAGAATATGGCTCTGAGAGTCGTTTTGAGAATACCCAGCCCGAGACGAGTACAAAAGTCAAGGACTACAATTCTGGCAACAGCCCTGAGTATGTTCTATCAAAGCCAATTTCCGAAGACAGCAGTGCCAGCAGTACGCCATCAAAACCAACAGAAACACCATCGAATTGAACAACCATCCTGAAGATGAGATGTCGAATTCCAGCAACCCACTTCAAGCCTTCAACAGGGCACGACGTGTACCAGGATCGAATATTCAGCCCGTTCTTCAACAAATCGAACACACAGTTACAGATTCTGATTTTCATTCCTGTCCCGATGATCTACCATACCATACTTGGATCCAAGCGAGAGATATCATGAGCCCCATTCAGGAATCACTTTCGAAAAAAATGGGGCAGCCAGGAATCAACTCCAGATCCCATTTACCTCACAAGCCGATTATTCAACATCCTCGAACTCCAATGGCTAGCCAAGAAAGCCCACGAGGGACTCGTCAGAGGTAGAAGACATGCAGTTCCCAACGACGACTTCGCCTACGAATTCAGACAGCGGTATTGCTGGAGCTTTGAGCCCAAACTCAAGGTGAATTAATAATGTCCTGCGCAGGTTACAGGGGACTCTGGACTACTTCCAAAGCTCTCAACCGCTGGAGAAGTCGCCGTTCTTCGAAGGAACTCGCTGGCAGACTGTCTACCTGCAAGTATATCTTGAAAATGGTCAGAGCATCGGCCATAAATACAGCTTGGACACCACTGAGAGATGGAAGTATTCAGTCAAGAACTAATTCATACCGAGAAGAAAATATCGGCAACGTTTTAGTTCTAGGACTCGAGGAGATCGCTGCTTGGCCCATCCGTCGGGTGCAACTAATTTAACGACAACTTGATTTTGTGTATACCTTTTTAATTTTACCATGTTTCTTGAGTTGATTGTCTTCAAAGATATCAATCTCTTTCCTGTTTCTACTTATCTGTACTCCCCGGCAAGTTATTGTCTGATGTCTCTTTTCGCCGAGAATCAAAATTATCCGTTGCCCCTAGTCACCCTCGGGCATGGATGGAGTCTCGCACATATGTACTGTACTAGATAGAACAAATCTTTCAAATACATCTTCGATTCACAAGCGATGTCAGTGACTCGAATGAATAACCTCTCATCTCTAAACCCGCCAACCTCTTCCATAAAATCTTCCTACCCTTCGCAAGAGAGACCTCTCTATCACAACTTCCAAAGCCAGGAACGCGCTTGCACTCTTACCCATCATGCCACTCCTAGGATCTTCATTCTGCAGATGCAACACCTGCACAGGAAGGAACAGACGGACGGCCGCCGCTCAAAGCACCACCATACCAGTTCAGACACAGCACTCCCAGGCACCACCTCCATATCAACCAACAACGTGTCAAGATCCCACAAATCCAGCACCGGCTTACGAAAACCCACCTCCGTATGTCGCTATGCCTCTCTTCCTATGTTTCTGGGACTACCTGAACCACTGTGGGAAGATGATCAACGATGAGGGTGGAGCTTGTGGGAGGTGTACGATGGTTGCAGTTTCTGTGTATGGTCGGCTACAGAGAATTCCAAGGCGTGAATAAGAAAATAAATGAAACATGAATTATCCTCCTGTTGCAGGAGTCTGGATTTCTTTTTTCTTTTTACTCTCCCTGCCTCTGAGGATGCTGTTGATGATCAAGTGATACCTAGCGACTGACTGTGGTGTACTCTGGTCAAATGTGTCTGTGCTGTTCTTCTTACTCAACTTTACAAATGGCGAACGGCTCAGCATCAGGCTTGCATTTATTTGTATTCAGGGAAACCAGTGACTCCCACACCTCAACATACTGACACTCAAAAGCACCGAGACACCTACCGAGACATTCAGGTACTACTTGTTAGGCCTCTCATAATCTGTCACCTGTTAAGTTGAATGGCAACAGAGAAATTAGACCTCGGGTGCCAAGTATAGTGAAATGAAGACATGGGTCGTAAGTGCAAGTCCCAAGGTTACAGACATCACCGTACCACATAGATGCGAAAGTTGAGAAATCCAGCTTTACGCATTAACACCCCCTTCAGTCAGATAATTTCCTCTCTTGCTTCACACGAACAGTAGTTTCTAAAGAGCGTAAGTCGTCCAGACGAAGTGTGGGGACTTAGCCCTACCCTCCCCCTGTTCAATATACACGCTCCACCCAGCAAAAAAGCTAAATCTCTAATCATTGCATATGGCTAAATAACAGGATTCCGTCAAGTCAGCAGCAAGTCAGCAGCCAACCAAGCGTTTGTGGTTTAGTGGTAAAATCCATCGTTGCCAGCTTCCTCTCCTTCAGGAGTCAGAAGTCAGAATCGATGGGCCCCGGGTTCGATTCCCGGCGAACGCAATAGAAAATATATTTTTGCAGATTTTTCTCTTTAGGAAGTTTACTTGATGCTCTCTTACTGGCTGTCCTTGGGAATTTTTTTGACGTCCCGTGAAAAAGGAGAACGTATAAGATAGCCAATTGATTGATTATATATACATGAGAAACGCCGAAACGTAAACCCAACATATTATACTTTTTATAATCCAAGTATTCGTGGTTTGCTTTTTATAATCGATTTCTTTTGTTTTGAACTCGACACTTAAGACGAGGAAGATATTGTAGAGCGCGACTCGAAGTCCTTTAAAGACATGATATCAGACACCGAGCTGGTTTTCGTTATTTAAGAGAAAGACAATTGGTTTTAATCAGAGTGTTTCTACATTTGTGACTTCTTGATAATCTTGACTCGAATCTAAGCGCAAGTAGAAATTTCTTCGGAAAGAGATTTTCAAAGTGGGTCTCCGCAAACGAGGTCACTTGAGAGGAATCTTCGGGAGCAAAGTATGAGTGAGGCCTTTAAACATTGGAGAAAAACAAAGACTGGCTGATAAAAAGAAATGTGTTTAATAAGTCGGCTTTTACTTAAAGTAACTTCGCGAATGCATTTGAAATCGCTACTCTTTAGCATTTTAAGCTACGAAAAGTACACAACAGCCCGATCGATTGATATCCATCCCCTCACAATGCAAAAAGTAAAGAACTCCAAGTAATTACTTGGGGACATGAACTCAAGAGAATCTCTCTGACGGGGAGTCGAACCCCGATCTCCCGCGACTTGTCGAGAACCACACATGAAGTGTTGATCTGGTGACAAGCGGAAATCATGACCGTTAGACCATCAAAGATTGAGCTTGAAAGCTGCTGATTGGAGGGTGATGTCTTATTTGGCTACATGGAGTGGTTAAAAAACTCATGTGTGATAAGCTTTTCTTTGTCTGGCTAGAGTGTTGTTGTGTGGCAAATCATTTGGGTGTGTTCTACAAAAGGCGGTGTGGAAAAGTGGAGCTATTCGCACTCTTGTTCTTCTGCCTAATGATTCCTCTCAAATATTAGGAGATATATGTTCTCAGAAATCCACTCATAGATCTGACATATCACATGGACGGGGGAATTAAAAACTTAGTTTCTGTAGGCTCGTATTAGAAACACTTTGGATTATGATTCCCATGGGTTCAGGGGAACCTAAGCGAGAAAGTAAACAAACCGTACCTGTCTGGCACATTGACTCAATCCAGAGAGGAACCGGCGTATGAAGGGCTAAGTTATGAATCGATAACTTCGAGAACTTGTATTTGGTATTCTGATTTCTACTGTAAACTATGTTTTCTCTTGAAGGGCATGTGCGATCGAGATCTAGATTAGTAACAACTTACAAGACATACTCACACTTAAAAATGAAACCCGAGCAAGTTACAAACCAGTAATAAGGCGGCACCCTTAGTCACTTGTGCTTAAAGTCTCATTTAACGAAACAGTCGAAATGAGTCACAATGAAAGGAAGACAAAGAAGAAAGGAGAGCCCAAAATTCCAGCGGACACCGGATGAATCTCTACGTCCGTACCACGAATTATGCCACGAATTATGAAGTGAGGAACATCCAGCCCCAGCAGGAAGTAGGCATTTGAAGCCCATGATATCACTCTACGAAACGAGCGTTACTCACTCATCAAAGTTGGAGATTTCATGTACCAGGGCTCACTGCAGTGAATCGGCGTTTCGAGGCGAGGCTCGAACTTCCCGTTCTCGGTCACATTCACAACGCGCCCACCAACTTCAGGAAAAAGTGAATTGCCCTTGCAGAAAATTTGGAATCACACTCAGGCAGAAAAATCTTATTCTACCTTACACTTCAAGCCTAATTCTCAACATGCAGCGATAACAAAGCGACTCGCTTCTGGAAAGAATTCGCATCTCGAACTCGAACCTTCCAGTGCAATCAGCTCCCAGCGCCTTCATTGCCGTCCTCGCGATCTTGGATCAAGTCATAAATTCCAAAGCACAGCTTTCGAAAGGCATCAATCGTTCAGATCCGCCAGCATCCACGTCTCTTACCTTCAATATCGACCCAAACCCGTCACTACCTCGAAATCATCATACTCGCGCTCGCGCCATCGACCTCCACAACCACTCGACATATACTCAACATCCAGACAAACAAACATCCGCCAGCTCTCCCCCTCCCGCAACCCAGAAGGAAAAATGTGCAACCACATAATCCTCACCTTCACATTCTGCACCTGCCAAGAAGTCGCAGTTGCGAAGCAATGCACGCGCTCCAAGCAGAGCGGGATGAACTGTTTCTATCGCGGTTCTGAGTGTAAGGAATACATGGTTGAAGAACGAGGGAGGAGAAGACGGGGAAGTTCAAGTGTAAATGGACGACGACGAGGAAATGGAACTGCCAATGGAAGCGGAGTTGGTAATTGGGGCAGAGGAAGTGGGGGAAAGGTGTATAGGTTGGTGCAAGGGGAATGCGAGTGGTGTCGTGGGGAGTATTGGGCGTATCCGGATTGACTCTGAGTCTGTGCTAGACAGAGGGAAGGAGGTTGGAGAGACTTCCAAAGGGTTTGTGTTGTGCTTGGCTTTGGGTTTCTGTGGGGCAGGGCAGTCTCTTTGGGATATGGAGATCTTGGAATCTGAGATGCTTGTGGAAGGGAATGAGATGAGGGGAAGGAAGCAGAGGAAACAGACCAACGACTACTTGGTTTAGTCGCGATTAATGAACAAGAGATTAGAGGGGTTCTTTGTGTACAAAAGCGGTCAGTTTCACAAGACCAAGACCAAGACCAGGACCAATTCCGCCCTTTCGACCTACTATCTGAAAAGTTCCGCAATCTCGAACTCTAGGAGGCAAGTGAAGTAGTGAATGGAGACAACTACTGATAACGTATCTATCTACCCCTCACTACAAAGAAAGTCATAGCACCTCAACCGTCAAAGCATAATCAAACTTTCCACACTCATAAGCAAGTCATCCGATCCGATCTCTTCCCCTCCACCACCACGCATTAGCCCCAAAACTCCCCAATCACTCCTCTCCCATACCAACCTTCTCACCCCTCCCCTCCCCTCCCATCCTATCAAACTTTTCGCATGGCGTGTTCCACAGAACTGTAGTTGTTTTAAAGATGCAGTAGCCCCGTACCACCAAGGACACAGGCGGGTGGTTCATCCGAACTATTCTCCGAAGTCACCCAATCACCACACCAGCTAGCAAAGCGAGAATTCAGGGGCCGCCTCGCTAGATCTGCGCTTGGGAATTAGGACGAACGCCATAAACAAAACGGAGGCGTAAAGCTTCTGTAGAACGCTGCATTAGCTCTGGGACACAACACAGCACAAAGTCGTGCAGTTTACTTATTTGGTAAGGTAGAAATGCACAAACCAACTCGTGCAAGGTAGTAGAAAACCAAAAGTGTCTAGACCTCAGTCCATCTACAAAGGGCGCCGTTTAGGATCGACACTGTCACAAACGTCGTACAATCTGGGTAAGTATATAAAGATAGTCGAGAGCCACACACTCTCGAGGCTTTCCTTCCTCCATCTCCAACCCCATCCATTCCCAACCACTGTTATTCTGTTGCTGTGCAACTTACCTTCTCTCCTCTCCTCTTCTTATTTTTCTCTTCTACACACTCCTTTGAACACCTTTCAGTTCAACAACGTTCTTCCTTCATCAAGGAATTATGCACTGCTCCTTTCTCACTCTTTCGCTACTGGGTAGCGTATCTGCGGCTCTTGGAGCTGATGTATGGACCGTCAACTGTGGCGTTTTGACAATTCAGAGATCCGATCCGATTGTCAGCCCAGGCGGTCCATCGAGCCATGTCCACGCCATTTCCGGCGGTACGGCATTCTCGAGGAATATGCCTGGTATCAACGATGCTGTCAATGCCAAAGCAACAACATGTGATAAATATACCGATCACAGTAACTACGTGAGTGTCCATTGACTCTAATTCATGGGAGAGAACTGACGGATTTGAAGTGGTGTCCTCAACTGTACAACAGGAGAGATGGCATGTTTGAACTCGTCCCATTCACTGGTGCTGTATGTACTCCCCTCCCTAAATCTTGCACCTGCCAGGGAATTAATGGATTGTTCTCAGAATATGTACTACAAGAAATTCACATGCGATTATCAAGCAGGCGGTCAATGGTGTCCTCGACCATCAGGTGCCCGACCATTCCCACCTGGTCTCCGCATGGTTGCAGGGAATCCATTCAGAAGGTACCAAACAGATCTTTTCAAACTCTCCAAGACGCCATCCTGATCCAATCCTAGAACACAAAACGACTCAGAGCAATCCAACCAAGCGATTCTCTACGAAACAGGCGGCGTAGGAGAAATGTACGGTTTCCCCAAAGTCATACAAGGCCGCTTACAGATGAACGTCCGTTTCCCATCATGCTGGGACGGGAAGAACCTCGATAGTCCAGACCACAAAAGTCACGTAAAAGGACCCCCTCCCATCCACATCCCATCCCATCCTCGCCTCCCCAATACAAAAAACTGAACATTCCATTCCAGATGTCCTACCCAGACCCCACAAAGGGAGACACCCAAGGCGGAATGTGTCCCTCGACGCACCCCATCGCCCTCCTCCACATCGGCGCCGAATTCGGCTTCGACACCAACGCGCTCAACATCACCGACTCCTCCACGCTCGTCTTCTCCATGGGCGACACGACAGGCTACGGAGGCCACGCCGATTTCATCCAAGGTTGGGAAGACCTCGCTGCTCTAGGCGAATCCTTCGACAACTGTAACGGGTTCGGGGACGCCTGTGCGTGGAACTCGTTCGGGACACCTGATGGGAAGGAGGGCGTGAAGAGGGATTTGGATCCTGAGATCCCGGCTGTGTTCGAGGAGGAGATTGGACTGAATGGACCGATTGCGAAATTGCCGGGGGATAATCCGGTGTGGGATGGTGTTGTTTCTGCTTTGCCGAAACCGACATTGAGTGTGCTGCCGAGTGTTGTCTTGCCTGGACCTAGTACGCTGGTTACTCTGACG